AGACCAATACTGTATACTAATTGATATATATAGACTCACTGTATTGAACACAATAACTGCACTAATAGTATTATCATATTATTGTTTACACTGTTGGGTTTTTTACCAATAAACATGCACAAATCTTGTATAATACTACTGTTCTATTAATATATTTACATATTTACAATCATTGGACAAGGTTTTTTTAGAACTGCTGGAGCTTGTGGAATTTTTTTTTCATTGAAAACAATGGCACCTATGCACAGAGGCACCTTCACAATTCTCACACAGAAAACCGAGTGTCTTTGCGTCTTTGTTGCGTCGTTTTGAGTTTGTGCACAGACAATGCATCTCCTTTACTGAGCAAATTTCTTTTGAGTTGACGGAAGCTGTATTATGAAATGATCACACTTCTCTCCTCTAACGCTTGGGTATATTGTGATGAATTCGAGGACCATTGTTGTATTGCAGGTGTTGTTTTACCTGGTACTTCATTATGAGTTGTCTGACAAAAGGCAAACAAAATTCACCATACGGTGGTCTGATACCAGTCTTTCTTTGGTTACATATTATTTGCATTCAGCATTGAATGTACTGAGATGGAAGAAAAGTTTCATTTTGTACACTTGTAAATTTTCATACACCATCAACCAAACCAATTGCAGGTCACACTTGTCAACCAGCGCATGTTTTGTGTATAATCAATCACTGTCACTGGTTTTTTCGAATACGTTTCCATTAGTCAATTGATCAACTTTGACACTGGTCTTGCATTTCATTACGGTGAATGGTTGTCAACAATGTGGACATCTCGTTTGTCATGCCACCGTAATGCCATGATGTCATTGGCAGTAAACAATGAACGTCATCACCACGAAAAACACCTGCGTTGTGCTGGGCATATGTTTACGATTAGAATGCACTGTGCCACACACATCTCGTTTGTTCACTCGCATGAAATCACTGAGTAATGGGCTTGTGTAACCAGTTTATCGGTATTAATGTATGGCCCTTACAAGATAAGGTGCCATCTGTTTCTCACTACGTCACCTGTTATTAACCATAACTTCTTGGTATCTTTCAATGTTTTACTACCCGTGTATACAACAATATCCAACACCAGGCCACTGTCACAATCACAGATGTACAAACAATTTTATACCAAAGCGGTTCCTCATTGTCTGTATTTAATGCATTGTATGGCAGTCTACCACTTTGACAAAATCAAAGAATCGTCAATTACAACACCCGCATTCTTGAATGGATAAAAGTACTATCCTGTACTTTTGTTTGAGATACATGAAAACATTTCTAATCTTGTATAAACCTGTCACTTCTGTCAGGCCTGGTTTTTGTCAGAGGAAGGTGCAACATAGGTAAGAGTAAGATAAACCTGTCTTCACTGGTATTATTTACTGAAGGATGGGGTAACAAATTATTCAATCTGTGGACCAGTTATGCTTTTATAAATTTATGACTATAGACGTGAGGCATAAGCATTATTGTTGTAAAAAAGCAAATACATTTCTGCAAAACAGTCGTCTCTTTCCACCTGTGGTAGTCTTGGACTGTGGTAGGTATGATGTATTTGCCCTTGGTGTACTGTAAATACTTATTACTTTCCATTGACAATAATTTCCATCAATGCTGGTCAAAGAATAATTCAAGATTTCCAGTTCATTGGCTGTGGTTACAAGTGGGGACAGTTAGGTAGAATTCCACTTTGTGAGGTCACTATGTTGGGGAGAGGGCTGGGAACAAAATTGGGTTTTTGCTGCCAATCCAGATACGGTTTGCTGGTGGTATGGACATCTAGGCGGGTTGTACGGACGGGTCTGTGAGGAGGTGGTGGGTGACAGCTTAAGCTTTGTCTTTGATACTGACGACGTCTGCAGAGTGGGTCCCCGCGTGGGCACAGTGATGTAACGCATGCCGGTGCCAACTACCACCACCTGCCCCACTAACACCATCCTCTGTTGCCTGTAGGCCCATCCATGCCAAGTTGTTAGCCACATCATCCTCAATATCTCTACCTAAAAGGTGTGTGTGTGTGTTTAGGGGCCACGGGATGTACTCCGGGATGTACTCAGGGATGTAATCCGTCCCCTGGGCACAGCATAGGGTACACTAAACCCGAGAGCATGCTGCGGCGACACATACTGACGCTTCACTGGTGTGATATATGTTTCCTCACCTATCACTACTCGAATTATGGGCTCGAGCGCAAATAAAATCACAATCCACGTCAGAATCATCGTATTACTGAGTCAGAGGCCAGGCCACGGGAAAATTATTTGTTTTTCTCTTACGTTTAGGAACTCCCGACCGTTGAGTCACGAGTGCCCACACCAGAGGTAGAGGTGAGGCTGTCGGGGTTTTCTGCACTATTATCGATATCTGGTCAGTTATTTTCGGTCACTAACTTATTAAAAAGCCGTAGAATGCGTTCTTCATTTCCCAATTCCTCAGTGTCAGAACTATCAGACAGGAAGAAAGAGGAGAAGTCCCAATTTTCCGGGAACGTGAGGCTGACTTGCGACGAGAGCAGATGTGAACAAGGGTGACTTGAGCCTGGCGTTCCCACAATGCTATGCAAGGCGCCTAGATTTTTTGTTTATGGCGCAACCCACGGCGCAGTACCATTCTCATCACATGTAGGGCCTATGAGACAGCTTTCGCTCCTAAATTTGACGGCGCTAGAATTTTGGGTAGATCTACGGGTTTGGACACTCATGACAAGCCGTTAGATCTACGGGACGGGACCCTGAAAAGGGTTAAAACAAAATTTGATCAGAGTTTGCTTTACCTATTCATGCACTATATGAGGAGGTTTTTTAATTTGTGCACACTCATTGCACAGACTCATTCTTCATATCTATGGCCAAAATTTACAGCTCACTGCTTATCGAATCCTAGGTAGTAGGTTGGTTGATAGGCATCCTCCCAGGGAGGGTACTACTGTCTGCAAATGAGTTGTTTAATAATGGCCAGCCCTGTTAATTGTTTTTACATGATGGTTGGACTGTGGTGTTTTTTTTCTGTTCTTTTAAACATGCAAGATTTCAGGTATGTCTTGCTTCTTCTTACTTACCACTTTTTTCAACAAATACACATACATGTACAAACATATATATACCACACACCCCCCTGGGTTTTTCTTTATTATCTTTATAGTTTCTTATTCTTGTTTTTTTCCTCTTACCTCCATGGGAAAATGGAACAGAATTCTTCCTCCGTAAGCCTGTTGTTGTAAGAGGCGGACTAAAATACTGGAGCAAGGGCTCAGTAACCTCTTTCTCGTGTATATTCACTAAAATGTAAAAGGGGAAACTTTGTTTTTCCTTTTGGGCCACCCACCTCGGTAGGATACGGCCGGATTGTGTTGGAAAGAAAGAAAGAATACATGATACTTCTACTTACACTTAGGTCACACTACTCATTTATGTACAAGCATATATATTTATACCCATCTGGGTTTTCTTTCTTTTTCCTTATAGTTCTTGGTTTGTTTATTTCCCTCTTATCTGCTTGAGGAAGAGGAACTGAATTCTTCCTCTGTAAGGCCATGCAGTATCCCACCTTGCATCGGTGGGATATGGACGTTTGTTGAAAGAAGAAGGAAAAACTTATCTGAAGGAGCTGAGCTCCATGTTGTAGAACTATGTGACAGACCCTGGCATTCAATAACAGTGATAAGGGGTTTAAAAAATAAAGAAGCTTACCTAAGCCTGTGTCTTTGTTTATACTGTACATACGCATTTACATGATTGTGACAATGATCTGAGTCTGGACTATAACACGTCTAAACATTTCCTCCAAATTGCAGGGTTTAACCCTTTTGGTGTCGGATCCCATTTTATCATGGCTTTGAAACAGTGTCGATTCTGCAATATGACGCCATGAGCTCAGCTCACTCAGATAAGCTGTGGGATGGTAAATTTTAGACTAGATATGAGAGAATGGGTCTATATGTGGTAAGTGTGTACATATAAAAAAAACCTGACAGCACTCAGTGCCTTAATGAGAAAGAAAAAAAAAAAAATGGGACCAAGTTTTGGGAAGTAATCAATGACTTTGCAGTGTATTTTCTTATGGTTTTTACGGTTTTGTATTTCATTTTCTTGATCTCAATTGAATAGAATGAAAGATATATTACAGAAATAGAGATAATTTTGCAATAGTTTGATAATGAAAGTAGCTTGAAAATGAGCTCAAAGTAGCTGAAATGTTAAACTTTCTGCCTATGTTCAAGAGTAAACAAATCACGTCACAATCCAATACATGTTCAATGATGTAGGCTAATGTGTTGATCACAAATGCACTGATATTGTTTATACAATTATTCAATTGTGAATTAGTAATGCATAACGAGTAAATCTATTTTTGAAGTGGATAAAAATTCAAAATGAAAGAGGGACCTGGAGACAATGACTAATGAACAGAGAAAATGTTATTTTTAGTGCCAGGAATGAATGTATTGTTTATTTAGGACCCTATTTTGAAAAATTGAAATTAGCCTTCTTGAATTTTTGTGTGAAATTGGCCAAAATTACCAATTTCTGATAATTTATTAGGAGTAGTTGAAATAGGTAAATGAGTGGTTTCTTGTACTCAGTCATTAGAATAAAAGACGTACTGCAAATAGCTAGGACTTGGTAACTGGAAAAATGGAAATTGGTTCAAAACAGGGCTTAAAGGGGCAAATCTCAGTGCGTTCATATTGCCTAGACTTGCCTCTAACTTTGTGAGAGCATAATTCTGTAAGTTTTTCATCAAATTTTGTACTTTTAGTTTCATTATTTTTGGAAAAAAGATTCTGTATCATTTCATAAGAAATTTTTTTTTTTTAATTCTTTGACCCTGAGAGAAAGTTTGCAAGCAGGGGTGCCGATACTGAAAGGGTGGTGAATTATTCAACCTCAATTTTGAAACTTAATCTACATTACTTATTCTTATGATGGCAATCAACTGATTATACTAACTACCAGCAGAGCCAAAATAGTAAAAAAAATTCTTACTGTTTAAACTTGATATTGGAGGTCAAGTACTGAGCCAAGATTAAGATCTGCAGTAAAACATAACGACGGAAATTTGTATCTGAAAACTGAAGGTCGAGCAACTTCTGGTTTGTTAAGTACTTTGCAAAATACTGGTCCACCTGTAACAAAGAGAATAACATTGAGAGTAAAATAGTAATAAAAAGTACATGAAAATATGCAATTACAGTAGCTACCCACATTGCTTAATAACACCTTATTGGGTTTTGTGGCTCTTTGGAATGCCAATTTCTTAGACTGAAAGCCCCTCACTGCAACTGAAGAACTGTCCTTGAGGGAACAATAGTTTTTTGACTTCCATCTGAGAAACCAAAATTATATTCAAAAGAATTTAGAACACATTTATAAAGGAATCTGAGTTTCTCGTGCTCCTGGAAGCCTATGTGACAAGAAATCCACAAAACTTTAACTTTAATCCCTTTGACAATACTGTAAGTAGATCTGTCTCTAGTCTCAAACGTATGTTACACCGAGTCCTCAGGATATTTACAGTAGGTAACAAGAATACCTGTCTCTAGTTTAATATATGTAGGCTTAGTTATGGCAGTACTACATAATAATGAAACTATTGTACACACTAATGCCATCTGTATGGAATAACACTTTTAGAAGTTTTGCTTTTAAACACCTTATGATAACACTGGTCAACAAATCTTGAAAAATTTTGTGCTTCAGAGAAAAAAATACTTCACTTTATGGTTTTTGGGGTACTGAAAATTCATATGACCATAATAACAATCAAAAAGTGGAAAATTCTTCCTCCATAAACTATGCATGTTGTAAGAGGTGACTAAAATACTGGGAGCAAGGGGCTAGTAACCCTTTCTGTATAAATTACTAAATTTGAAAAGGAAAGCTTTTATTTTTATTTTTGGGTCACCCTGCCTCAGTGGGATGTAGCCAGTTTGTTGAAAAAAAATAATAATCGACTGGCAAAAGGAAATTGAATGTATTTTTTAAACAATTACTCATTGAGGCTATAAGAAATTACATGCAAAGTTTGAAAAATTTTGCAATGTGGATTTGAATTAAGAACCTTTACCCTGTACCATCCCCCTTTCCTGGGTTAATGATAACACCAACTGGCCCGAGTCATATACTTATACATAGAAGCAATTGCAATTTTAAGCATCATTTTTGGAGTGAGATTAATAAGTTGAGGAAGCCTAGGGAATGAATGGATTTGACAGTTAACCCTTTGAGGGGTCCATGCCGAAGATCTACGCCATGAGCTCAGCTCACTCTGATAAGCTGTGAGTGGTAAATTTGGGCCTAGATATGAGAGAATACATCTATGTGTATGTGTGCACCACATAAAACAAGTCCTGCAGCACAGTGCATGATGAGAAAAAAACTGAGACCATAATTTTTTATTAAAATAGCGACTTTGCAGTGCTTTTTCGTATGTTTTTTTATAGTTGTATTTGCGATTTCTTGGTCTCATTTGATAGAATGGAAGATATATTACTGAAATAGAGATGATTTTGATTGGTTTTAATAATGGAAATGGGTTGAAACTGAGCTCAAAATAGCAGAAATGTTAAATTTTCCCCGACGTTCAAGAGTAAACAAATGAGCTCACAAGTCTAATACATGACAGCTGGTGGGTCTAATATATGTTTACAAATGTGGTGATATCATTTATACAATTATTACAGTATTGCTTAACAGTAAATCTCCTATTTTCTGGTTTGAATAAAAATTCATTATGTGAATAAAAAATAAAAATGGAATTCATTTGTAAAGCCTGAAAATGTACCTAATGAACAGAGAAAATGTTAGTTTAGTTCCAGGAATGTCTGCATTGTTTATTCTGGACCCTATTTTGAAATTAGAATATTTTGAACTTTGCATTAAATTGGCCAAATTACCAAATTCTGATCACTTTATTTTGTAGTTGAAACAGTTGACTTGGTAATTTCTTGTGCTCAATAGATAGAATAGAAGTAATACTAGTGAAATAGCTAAGAATTTGGTCGACTGGAGTAATATAATTGGCCTAAAATGGGAGTCAAAATCGGCAAAATCGCCGATGCGTAAATATCGCTGACACATCAAAATTTGCGAGAGCATAATTTCGGCAATTTTCCATCAAATTTCATACTTTTTGTTTTATTACCTTCAGAAAAAAATTCTCTACCATTTCATAAGAAAAAATAACAAAATTCTTGGACACTAGTGCACTTTGAAATTTGGCCTTTGGACACTGAAAGGGTTAAAAGTTGGAGAGGAGAGTTATTAGCCCTTTGAGGGTCATTCCCATAATTCTATGGCTTTGAAGCCAAGGTCCAAGCCATAGTTCTATGCCATGAGCTCAGCTCACTCAGATAAGCTGTGAGTGGTAAATCTGGGCCTAGATATGAGAGAATGCATCTATGTGGTAAGTGTGCACCATATAAAACAAATCCTGCAGCATGCAGTGCATGATAAAAAAACTGAGACTGTGATTTTTTATTAAAACAGAGACTTTGTGGTGTATTTTTATGGTTGTATTCATGGTTTCTTGGTCTCACTTGATAGAATGGTAGATATATAACAGAAATGGAGATGGTTTTGATTGGTTTTAGTACTGAAAATGGCTTGAAGTGAGCTCAAACTAGCAGAAATGTTTAAATTTTTGCCGATGTTCAAGAGTAAACAAATAACGTCATGCCCCAATACACGTCAGCTTGCAGGTCTAATGTGCATTTACAAATGTGCTGATATTATTTATACAATTATTACAATATTGCATAACAGTAAATCTTCTATTTTTTGGTGTGAATAAAATTCATTATGTGAATAAAAAATCAAAGTGGAATTAATTTTTAAAGCCTGGAAACATAACTAATAAACAGAGGAAATATTATTTTAGTATGTTATGTTAATCTCCAGGGTTTATTACCTGGACCTCAGCAATGAGAGTGGCTACTCTCACTGCTGGGCAACGGCGGTGAGAGTAGCCACTCTCACCGGAATGCCTGCAATGCCGGAATGCCTGCATTGTTTATTCTGGACCCTACTTCGAAATTGGAATATTATGAACTTTGTGTGAAATTGGCCACATTACCAATTTCTGATAACTTGATTGGGTAGTTGAAATAGTTGATTGGGCAGTTTCTTGTGCTCAATCGATAAAATAGAAGTGATACTAGCTAAGAATTTGGTCGATTGGAATAGCGTAATTGGCCTAAAATAGGAGTCGAAATGGGCAAAATCACCAATGTGTAAATATCATTGATGCAGCAAAATTTGCGAGAGCACAGTTTTGTCAATTTTCCATCAAATTTTGTAATTTTTGTTTTATTACCTTCAGAAGAGAAGTGAATGCTCAGCTGAATGTTTGGATGTTGGCAAGAGGTGTGGGATTAAAAGATAAAGAATCTAACACAAAGTGGGAGCTGTCATAGTTGCTCTTTGCTGATGACACTGTGCTTTTGGGAGATCCTGAAGAGAAGTTGCAGAGGTTGGTGAATGAGTTGGGTAGGGTATGTAAAAGAAGAAAATTAAAAGTGAATATAGGAGAGAGTAAGGTGATGAGGATAACAAAAAAAATAGGTAACAAAAGATGGGATATTAGACTGGAGGGAGAGAGTATGGAGGAGGTGAATCTCTTCAGATATTTAGGAGCAGATGTGTCAGCAGATGGGTTTATGAAAAATGAAGTGACTCAAAGAATTGATGAGGGGAAAAAGGTGAGTGGTGCACTGAGGAGTCTGAGTCTGTGGAGACAAAGAACTTTGTCCATGGAAGCAAAGAGGGGAATGTATGAAAGTGCAGTTACACCAACGCTCTCATATGGATGCAAAGCATGGGTGGTGAATGTTGCAATAAGGAGAAGGCTGGAGACAATGGAGATGTCATGTCAGAGGGCAAAATGTGGTGTGAATATAATACAGAGAATTCGTAGTTTGGAAATTAGGAGGAGGTGTGGGATTATCAAAATTATTATCCAGAGGGATGAGCAGGGGTTGTTGAGGTGGTTCAGACATGTAGAGAGGCTGGAACAAAATAGAATGACTTTGATAGTGTATAAATCTGTAGTGGAGGGAAGGCGAGGTAGATGTCGGCCTATGAAAGGCTGGAGGGAGGGGGTAAAGGAGGTTTTGTGTGAGAGGGACTTGGACTTCTAGCAAGCATGCATGAGCATATTAATTAGGAGTGAATGGAGACAAATGGTTTTTAGGACTTGACGTGCTGTTGGAGTGTGAGCAAGGCAGCACTTATGAAGGGATTCAGGGAAACCAGCAGGCCGAACTTGAGTCCTGGAGATGGGAAGTACAGTGCCTGCACTCTGAAAGAGGTGTGTTAATGTTGCAGTTTTATAACTGTAGTGTAAGTGCACCTCTGGGAAGATAGTGATGGAGTGAATGATGGCAAAAGTTTTTCTTTTTCCAGCCACTTTGCCTTGGTGGGGAATGGCCGATGTGTTAACAAAAAAAAAAAAAAATCTGCATTCAGTGGCCAAAGAATAGTAAAGAATGACTAGTTTTATTTGCAAAGCATTTTGACTGAAGACCAGTATTATTGAAAGAAAATGACATATTTGCTCACCAGCATACAGGCCACCATGGCTCAGGTCATGTGGCTGTAAACTCTCCATAGAATAGGGTAGCAGTACACTACTTGTATATCCAGTTTTGTTAATAAAAAAAAAAAAGCCTCTCACAATCCTACATGACCCTAGAAATATTTAAAAATGAGGAAATTGATAACAGAAGATTTTCTTTAAAATTAGTTTTGCTGTATAACAAAGATACCTACCTGGGGTTGCAAGCTGGAACTTTCATTCGAATGTGTCGGCTCAGATAATGTACGAGTGAGATGAGCCCCTCCACTTCCACTGCTCTGGACATTATCCAACTTGAAACTTCTAAATGCTTCTAAAACATCTCCACAATACTGAAATAAAAAATTAATAATAAAACTACCAGCAAGCAGATGCTTGGATAATGACAATTTATTACATTCTCCAACAAGAACACAGGACAGCAACAACCCAATGAGAAAATTGTGCATGTGTGTGTACAACATTTATTGCCAAGGTCAAGTCAGTGTCCTTAAGATTATAGCATTAAGCAATGTGTTGAGAAAGGAAGGCACTTGAAGAAACAAAACTGGGACTAAGATTCATGCTGCACATCTGCAGCATTAGCATACCCATGAGAAAGCGCTCAGCTCACTACCCCAAGTGCCAAGATTTTATTCTCGTAATGGTAAGACACCTGTTGCCCTTGGTCACCTAATAGTAAATGGGTGTTAGTTGCCTGTTATGAATCCAGTCCCAGAGAGGATAGTATATTTTATAAAGAACTGGGCTTTAAAATGTACCAGAGCAGGAAAATAAACCTTAGCCTGTAAAGTGAGCTATGTAAAAAGTATAGTGTTAACTCTATCATGTAGTTACTGACCACAGTGAACATCTTCCAAGGTGCCTTTTGAAAACACTGAACTGGGTTTCTGAAGAAGTCTTGGAGTGACCAGAATTTAGTATACAGGGTGTAGCCCAGTCGTAGTCGATTTTCTTCACCTTTTTCTTCATCTAAAATGCAAAATATCACATTAGCAAAATTCAAAAAGAGTTCATACATAGAACATTACAATATATAAAGCTAGAATTAGAGTGTTGTAATAGCAAGAGTGTTACTATCAGATATAACATTGTCAAAGAATAAACTCTTATCACCTAAGCTATGATGGTCCAGGATATGCCTATTCTACTGTGACTTCAAAATGACCTGGGTCATAACTCTTGACTTACAGGTCAGACTGAGTTAAGAGATACAGATTAAAGTTTAGAAGTTCCTTTCCTGGAATTTCCTTTAGGTTACATTAGGTCAGGTTAAATTAAGTTATATAAGGGTGGTGGAGACACAAACTCCATCAAACTACAGGTCTCCCTCAACATTCGCGAAAGTAAGGGGATCAAGAGCCTCGCGAATGTTGAAAAACCGTGAATGTTTGGTGTCCCAATATATTGTAGGGAAATATAATACAATACTGCTTCCTTAACTTGTTGAACCATGAACAATCATAAAATACATGAAAACGTCGTAAATTGTACTAAATATATACATGTTATGCTTTAATAACATGTATGTTATTAAATACCACAGACTCCACCACTGCCTCCACCAATGCCTCCACCACTTCCTCAACCACTGCGAGTCCCTACTACCCTCCCACCGACCCCCGCAACTGGCAGCCAGCCCTCCCACCACTCAGTGTGGTGAGTGTTTTGTTTGTTCATTATTTGCTATTAAATTACAGTATAAATAATGTAAACCCATTCATGACTGCATATTGGAATGGCTATTTGGACAGGTATTGGACAGTGACATCATGTGTTTACTCTTGAACACAGCAAAGAATCAAACATTTCTGCTACTGCTAATAATAACAAGAGTAATAATAATAATAATAATAATAATAATAATAATAATAATAATACGAAATAACTGAAGAAGGAAATTGTACAAAAATACGAGGAAGTGGTTGACACATCGTCAGTGTGGCTTTGTTTATGCTGGAGTGAGCATTAGTCTCCCTGCTCTTCCAAACATTTCACAATAATTCAGTGGTTGAGGCAGTGGTATTTAACCCTTTGAGGGTTTCGGCCATACTAGTACGGCTTACGAACCAGGGTTTTTGACGTACTAGTACGCATAAATTCTAGCGCCCTCAAATCTAGTGGGAGAAAGCTGGTAGGCCTACATATGAAAGAATGGGTCTATGTGGTCAGTGTGCACAGTATAAAAAAAATCCTGCAGCACACAGTGCATAATGAGAAAAAAAAAATTGACCGTTTTTTTGGAATAAAACAGCAACTTTGCACTGTATTTTCGTATGGTATTTATTGTTGTATTCTAGTTTTCTTGGTCTCATTTTATAGAACGGAAGACATATTACAGAAATTGAGATGATTTTGACTGGTTTTACAATGAAAAGTACCTTGAAATTGAGCTCAAAGTAGCAGAAATGTTCGATTTTTACCAAAGTTCAAAAGTAAACAAATCATGCCAAGCGTCCAGTACACGTCAACTGGTGAGTCTAATATTCTTTTGTAAGTGTGCCAATATTAGTTATACCATTTTTTACACTAATGCAGTAGTCTGCATAACAATAAATCTTCTATTTTTGGTAAATGGGTGGTTTCTTGCACTCATTCGATAGAAAAAATGGAGTTCTAGTGAAATATTCATGTTTTTTGTCGACTAGTGCAGTGGAATTGGCCGAAAATGGGGCTCAAAGTGGGCAAAATCGCCGATGCGTAAACATCGCCGAGACCGCTATCTTCGCGAGAGCATAATTCCATAAGTTTTCCATCAAATTTCATAATTTTGGTGTCATTATGATCGGGAAAAGATTCTCTATCTTTTCATAATTTTTTTTTTTTTTAAATTTGGCCGACCCTGAGAACGAGTCTCGGAGAGGGCCTGTCGACCCTCAAAGGGTTAATAACATATATGTTATAAATAATAATAGTACATATTATTAATAACATGTATTATTATTATTAATAACATGTATGTTATTAAATACCACTGCCTCAACCGCTGCCTCAACCACTGCCTCAACAGCTGCCTCAACCACTGCCTCAACTGCTGCCTCACCCACTTTGTCAATCGCTGCCTCAATAGCTGCCTCAACCACTGCCTCAATCGCTGCCTCAACAGCTGCCTCAACCACTGCCTCAATCGCTGCCTCACCCACTGCCTCAATCGCTGCCTCAACAGCTGCCTCAACCACTGCCTCAATCGCTACCTCAACAGCTGCCTCACCCGCTGCCTCAATCGCTGCCTCAACAGCTGCCTCAACCACTGCCTCAATTGCTGCCTCAACAGCTGCCTCAACAGCTGCCTCAACCACTGCCTCAATCGCTGCCTCAACAGCTGCCTCAACCACTGTCTCAATCGCTGCCTCAACAGCTGCCTCACCCACTGCCTCAATCGCTGCCTCAACAGCTGCCTCACCCACTGCCTCAATCACTGCCTCAACCACTGCCTCAATCGCTGCCTCACCCACTGCCTCAATCGCTGCCTCAACAGCTGCCTCAACCACTGCCTCAATCGCTGCCTCAACAGCTGCCTCACCCGCTGCCTCAATCGCTGCCTCAACAGCTGCCTCAACCACTGCCTCAATCGCTGCCTCAACAGCAGCCTCAACAGCTGCCTCACCCACTGCCTCAATCGCTGCCTCAACCACTGCCTCAATCGCTGCCTCAACAGCTGCCTCAACAGCTGCCTCAACAGCTGCCTCAACCACTGCCTCAATCGCTGCCTCAACCACTGTCTCAATCGCTGCCTCAACAGCTGCCTCACCCACTGCCTCAATCGCTGCCTCAACAGCTGCCTCACCCACTGCCTCAATCACTGCCTCAACAGCTGCCTCAACCACTGCCTCAATTGCTGCCTCAACAGCAGCCTCAACAGCTGCCTCACCCACTGCCTCAACAGCTGCCTCAACAGCTGCCTCAACAGCTGCCTCAACAGCTGCCTCAACCACTGCCTCAATCGCTGCCTCAACAGCTGCCTCAATCGCTGCCTCAACCACTGCCTCTACCACTCCAGTCGCACTCAATCTACAAGCACCAAACACAATGAATTATTGTGAAATGTTTGGAAGAGCAGGGAGACTAATGCTCACTCCAGCATAAACAAAGCCACACTGACGATGTGTCAACCACTCCCTCGTATTTTTGTACAACTTCCTTCTTCAATTATATTGTATTTAGTATTATTATTATTATTATTATTGCTATTGTTATTATTAGAAGTAGCAGAAATGTTTGATTCTTTGCTGTGTTCAAGAGTAAACACATGATGTCACTGTCCAATAACTGTCCAAATAGCCATTCCAATATGCAGTCATGAATGGGTTTACATTATTTATACTGTAGTTTAATAGCAAATAATGAACAAACAAAACACTCATCACACTGAGTGGTGGGAGGGCTGGCTGCCAGTTGCGGGGGTCGGTGGGAGGGTAGTAGGGACTCGCAGGTGGCAGGAAACTTGAATATGATTTGGCGGCTGGGAATTTGGTGGCTGGGAATTTGGCAGTTGGGAATTCGCGAATGTGTGAAGCCCGCGAAAGCTGAAAACATGAATGTTGAGGGAGACCTGTACAGTGGACCCCCAAATGTGGGCCGGTGCAGAAATTGACCAATTTGGAAATCAAGCACTTTTTTCGGCGACCCCCCCCCCACGGATATAGGCCATCCGCTCAGAAATCGTTGGTATGAGACACATCCACCCACCGTCGACACGCTTCCTCACGCATATCACACTCAGTCTGCACATCTCTCTCGTTGGGGTAGGAATACTCCGTGCGTTCATTCGTTGTTTTTGGTGTTTGTTTATGGACTGCAATTGTGAAATAAGCCACCATGGGGCCAAAGAAAGTTCAGAGTGCCAGCCCTTTGGTAAAGGTGAGAAACACAATATAATTCAAGAAAGAAGTTATCGCAAAATATGAAAGTGGCGTACGTGTGGCTAGGATGTATGGGAAATCTACATTAACAATCAGTTCTATCCTGTTGAAGAAAGCAGAAAATCAAGGAAGCTGATGTTGCGAAAGGTTGTAAATATGCTACCAAAACAGAAGTCTCAAACTATCGAGGATGTGGAGAAGTTGTTGTTGGTGTGGATCAACCAAAAACAATTAGTGAGAGATAGTGTTTCGGAGGGGATAATTTGCGAGAAGGTAAAGCAGTTGCGTGTGGACCTTGTAAAGAAAATGCTGGGAACAAGTGCTGCTGTTAGTGAATTTAGGGCCAGCAAAGGCTGGTTCTACAGATTCAAGAAGCATAGTGACATACAGTGTTGTAAGGCATGGTGATTACAAATCTGATGCAGAGTGGGAGTTGTCACAGTTATTTTCCAATGACAGCTCTTTTGGTAGATTTTAATAACATGTTGCAAAGGGTGGTGGAGGAATTTGGGAGGGTATGTAAAAGAAGGAGATTAAAAGTGAACATAAGAAAGTGCAAGGTGATGAGAGTGACAAAAATCAAGGCAATGAGAGTTTGGATATCAGATTGGAGGGAGGGAGATTAAAGAAAGCTAACATTTTTTTTTTAACGTGGCGGCTGTTTCTCACCAAGGCAGGGTGACCCAAAAAGAAAGAAAAAACTTTCATCATCATTCAACACTTTCACCATCGCTCGTACATAATCACTGTCTTTGCAGAAGCGCTCAGATACGACAGTTTATTTGTACCTCCAAACTGCCAATATCCCAAACCCCTCCTTTAAAGTGTAGGCATTGTACTTCTCATTTCCAGGGTTCAAGTCTGGCTAACTGGTTTCCCTGAATCCTTCATAAAATATTACCCTGCTCACACTCCAACAGGTCGTCAGGTCCCAAAAACCATTTGTCTCCATTCACTCCTATCAAACATGCTCATGCATGCTTGCTGGAAGTCCAAGCCCCTCGCTCACAGAACCTCCTTTACCCCCTCTCCCCAACCTTTTCGAGGATGAGGAAGCTAATGTGTTCACATACAGTGGACCCTCGGGTAACGACATTAATCCGTTCCAGA